GTAGACTGTTCAGGATTTACTCCCATCTCACCAATTATTTGCACTTGCTGTTCTTCCGGAATGGACGGATGACCTGGGGGCTTTTTGTTATATACACTACCGGTAGTTGTGAATTTAGATACAAGTTCCCTCAAATATTTCAAGATGGCGCCCAGTCGCCATCTTGAAAGTTTCATCTGTCAATTTCACTTCAAAATAAAGTATTCATGCATCAATTTCATTATCCCAAATTTCAATTTTTGAGTTGACCCGTTCACAAAATAAAATGGGGGAGGGGGGTGAAACAAATTCACTGTATAAAGAAATATGTAATGGGACAGTAGATTATAGTAATATTTACAGAATATAAATTGAGTTGTTGTTTTAAAAAGTTTTTGAGCACTCAATTTCATTTTTACACAAAATTCAATGCAAATTATTTGATCTATTTTTTAAGATGGCAGAAAATCGCCGAACACGCAAAATACTTCTAACTTTTTGCCTCTCACCGACAAACTAAACATGCTAAACAGCTGTAACTGTGAACATATGTTCGAGACGAGTGTACCAACATAAAAAAATCGCTCATCGAACGTACGAAGCTCGCGAAATTTGAACATCCACCTTATTTTTTGAACAGACCTCGTATGTTCCGAAGTGTCTTGATTTCTTTGAAAATGCAGTTCATTCAAAGTTTCAGAATGAGGTAATACTATTTATATGAGATTACGTTTGACCAGACCATAAAAGACGATATATTGAAATTTCAACGTACCGAATTGCGAGATTCTTGAAAACTTTTACTAGCGAACAACCGGAAAGTTGTGGTGAGATAGCAAACCATTGAGCCATTATTTTTAAATTAGAGTTATTAAATTTCGCCTAATATATATTATGACATTTTCATTGTAGGAACTTTCCTAAAATATAGTGATTACTGTTTGGTATTTCTAAGCATTATTATCGTAATGTATCTACTCTATTCTACCCAATTAATTTTAACAATGAAATGAAAAAACTAGATGAACTTTGCAACAACAAAAACGAGAATAATGTCGATCTGAATATACATGTGAGTCCAAAAAAATCAAGAAAAACTCAATACTCAACACATGGCAACACGAATGGACAAACAACGATTCAAAATTGAAAGATATCAAACCCGATATTGCAGCCATGAGACTTCCACAAGGGCTAACGAGAAGAGAACAAGTCATAATAACACGACTTAGGATAGGACATACGAACTTAACATCCTCTTATATACTGAGAAGACAAAGACAACCATCCTGTGAAAACTGCCGAACTTTGATGACGGTCAAGCAGCTTCTCTTAGAATGCCACCAATATGAAGATGATCGATAACGATATAACTTACCGGATAATATCAGAACTTGCCTCAGTTCCAAAGCCACAAGAAATGTTTTGAACTTTCCGAAAGCAACAAACCTCCTCAGCAAAATATAAACAGTTATCGTATACTACAAAATGTCTAATGACCTCAGTAGTCGATGCCAGAATAATAATTAAAAAATAAGAGTGTCTGGTGGTGCTTTTTTTTTCATAACAGTCCAATGTGGGTATTTTTTGGGCAAGATAGGGCATAAAAGTTTCGTATTGTAACGAATTAAAGAATTAACCGTCTTGAACAAATTTATTTTTAACAATATTTTACTATCACAATTTATATTCCACACTTAGCAACTAACGCTTAATTTATCTTCACTGTTCGAATTCTTTATTTAAACGCACGATTCGCTTTCTGAATACAGAGTGCTATCTCGGGGGACGGGAAGCCGGCTTTTATATCGGCAACGATCACTCCAGATCTCTCTAGTCGTTTCGGCACTCATCTATACTTTTCGCTCCAGTTCGCGGTGTGTCATGTGTTTGCTGGCTGAGATATCGGTCAGGGCCGGCTTCAGATGCGTTACAGTATTCACCATAATTAAGAAATTTGAATCACGTTTGATTCGAATCGGTAAGAAAAATTTGGAGAATTGAAAAAAATGTAAAAAAGTCGAAATGATGGTAAAGAGTTCAAACGATTGAGAATTTTGTACTCTTTAGACTGATGCTGTGCATTTTTTTCCAAATTTCATTTTTTTGCCTCTTCAGTTTATTATTATATGATGTCGGCCAATTTTTCTCTACGAATTCAAATTGAACCAAAGCGCTGTCGAAACGACCCAAAAAATTAAACAGGCATTTGGCAATGACAGTGTTAATGAACGCATACGGTTCGACCTTGGTTTGCGAAATTTCGTTCCGGAGATTTTAGCCTCGAGGACCTTGGTGAAGACTGATCCATCACAAATGATGCGTTTTTGAGGGTTTTAAACATATTGGAAATTGTTACGTTTCGAGGTATGTTAGTCTTTGCTCTTGCGCGACCGAAACGAACCTTTTTTTGGATCCTATCGTCACGTGTGCTGAAAAGTGGATCCTCTACGACAACAGGAGACGGAGACGCACCAAAAAAGACCGTGGTCAGCTTCAGTCGTCACTGGTCAACAACATAGTTCCGATCCTGCTCCACGACAATGCCCATCTACATGTTTCACAAATCACCTTTCGAAAATTAAACGAATTGAGCGCCGAAGTTCTGCTTGACCCACCATACTTCCCAGAGACCTCTAGCCATCCGACTACAGTCTTTTCAAGCATTTCGATTACTTTGTCACCGCTAGTCATTACCATACAAAAACGGCTTTCGTCAACCTCACGAATCCCGAGCACACAATTTTTATTCTGACGGAATTATTCGACTTGTATTGCGTTGGGAAAAGTGCACCCCTCGGAGGGGCGATAGTAGAGGTAATTCCAATGAAAAATTTCATAACGTAGGTTCTGATTCCTCATTGTTCCCGAGTAATTTTGATTTTTACAAAAGTCTATGTTTTTGAAAAGAACAAACATTATTGTAAAAAATTCGAATGTGTGGCACATTTTGGCACACTTTTAATCAAAAGTAGGCAAAAATATGTCTGTAATTCAAATGCCTGTAACCTAAAACCAGTACAGTATGTAGATGGATCTCTTTCGGTTCAACTACTTCATTTTGTGCTGACATATATGAAATATAATTTTGCCATTATGTCAGTTTCTTCAACAGTTTTGTTTATAAAAATCATGTTAATACCTCACAGATATGATATAATTTTGCTAAACGTGACTTGACCTGATCTGACATGAATGTAAAAACAGTTCAAAAACTAAGAAAATTTCCCATGTCGTTAACACTCACCAGTTCGAAATTTTATTTTTGATGCCTTACCCACATTCTATCGTGTAGCGGTAACAAAGGTATTCTCTTAGGCCGGTGACATACTTCGCGATTTCCGAGCGGTTTTTTCCAGCGCGGTTTCCGAGCGAAAATTGCTGAGTAAAAATCGCTACAGTGAGTACTTGACAGTGTCCGCGATTTCCAGGCAGTCCGGATTTCTGACTGAAGGGGAAATATTCCCTTGTCTTCTAGTATCGTTCGCGCCTCCAAAGCAACTATGAAATCTGTTGCTGCCATATTTCTCCATCAAATGGTGGAACCCCTTTGTGCTTTGGAGGCAGAAGGCGCTCTTGCTGGAAGAAGCCATCCAAGGGAGGGAGTACGACGTGCACCCGTACCACCGAAAGAGGAATCAGGAAGAAAAGTTTTCTGTTTTATACAAAAAAAAAGCTAGGAGTACTTTTTTATTATTATCCCTGTAATGATAACTTGGTTTTTGTTGACTTTAAATTTTATTCATATTTTTACACATTAAATTGACACTTTATTGAAATCATGATTTTAATCAACTAATATACGAGTAAATCGTATATACCCTGTACAAAGAAATGCTTATTTACCTGAATTAATTCTAATCTTTGGCATATCTAAACTGTAATTATATAGTGAAAGCAATGTTTTTAGGCTGTGGTAACATTTTGTAATAAAACATTGCTGATTTGTTCGAAATTATTAGTTCACACGAAATTTTTTATGTTAATTTTTCTCACATCTTTCCAAATGTTTCTCTTAGATGATATCTGTTTCAATTCACCTATGAATGTCTTTTTTTCAAACTGAAAAATGGTTTTGTTTAAAAATTGCGAATTGTTTCAGATGAGTTGCAACTTCTGTTTTTTATCAGAAATGAAGTAATATACCTTTTTCCTATTTTTCTTGGAAGTTTTCTTTTTCATATTTTATTGAAGAAGTAATTCAAAAAGGTTTTCTTCTGTCGTAGTATCAACTACTTATTGGGTTCAAATTTCTATTTCCAATTATTGTTTTGATTAATTTGTCAAAGAGAAAATGTTTGCAATTTATTTGAAAAAATATTTTCCAATCAGTTTAATCTTGTCCTATATTTTTGAATTATTGATAAAGATTATCGTAGAAANGGGCTATTGACGGGACACTGTAGACTCAACAAACACATGAACAACATCGGACTGGCAGACACAGCCCTATGCAGGCTTTGCCAAGAGGATGAGGAAACCTCCGTACACATACTATGCTATTGCGAAGGTCTGTCAAGGATATGGTTTGCAACATTAGGGGAGGAAAAACCACAACCCTCTGAATATATGGGGAACTTGAGGTCTGGCCTATGGAGTCTAGTTACAAGGAGAGGCCTAGACGAGGAACTCTAGCATACTTGAGGGCACACACAATAGACCTGCAAAGGTGGCAGTGAAGTGGCTGTTCAGCACAGATGCCCTATATTAATCTAATCTAATATCTAATAGTTCGTAGAAGTTCAAACAAAAAATGTCATATATGTGTGATTGATGACTTGTTTATTTTGTGGTAATTCATTATCACTTTAGCGAAATGAATAATAACACTTTTGCCTAATTACCACTAGTTGATTTTATTTATACGACCCCATTAACAAGTATAAAACTTGATAAATTATCAAGAGTTCCATCAATGTATATATTTATTTTATCAAACAAACTTCGAGATTGTTACAATTTGATGAAAATAAAATTTAATTTGGCCTGAATCTACCCTTGAAATTCTTCGTTTGTTCCAGATTGGCTGCGCGAGCAATGGACAAGCCGCAAGGAAAAAAAGAACCGCAGTCTTCGGACCCCCCGCAACAGAGGGCGCCTCCCGAAGTCTGTTTCGTTTGCGGCAACCGCAACCAACCCCACATCTACTACCTGAACACCAAACCCATTCCCAACAAGCCCAAAGAGCCGTACTTTCCCTTCCTGGACTCCCACGAGCCTCCCTCTGGATATATTCCTAGAAAAGAGGCATCCGTTCCCGCCTGCTACCTCTGCTACGCCCTCTTGCTGCAACAATGGGAGTCTTACGAGATCACAATGAGGCCCCACTCGGAACGGATGTACTGGTTGAAGCGGGTCGACAACGGGCCATATACGGGGGCCGATATGTTGATGCAGGGCGAGTATGCGGCGCAGGTGCTGGGATTGAATAGCGACGGGGTGGGAAGCGTGCCCCCTCCGAGACCCACAGGGTTGAAAGAGGAGCCGAAGGGCTGCGTTACCGGAAGACAAACGCAGGTGAGGCATTTCAATTTATCGGACGTTAGAGTTTTTGGGGAGACTTAACTGGGATAGTGGTATAGTATTTCCAATACCAATTGGAACAGCACAGATAAGGAATTCCCGCCTCGACATAGGCGTTTTTCAGTGGTAGTTTTTCAGTTACTTATTCTTACAATCATAGCAATTGATCACCCCATGAAATAGTTATCTCAACTGAATTTTTCCATCATAGGTAATTATGAAAAACTTCGAAATTTAAGGTAATTGATTTCCGAGTCGAAAACTCTAAAACACAAATAATCACACCGAATTCTCGTCAAACATATATTTACAAAATAATAAAGGACAACAAAATTGCTAGAAAAATCAAAATTCTTCTTCGCTATATTCGGATGAGGTGGAATCATCATCGGGTTGAATAACGATCGGATTTATGNTTACTAACTATCTGGGCAACTAGGGGCCACAGGCAAGAAATGTTTATGACTGTACTCTTATTTTTATTGCCGTTCCAATTGAAAATGGATAGACTATACAGTTGTTTTGCATAATGTAAAATGAAACAATCCAGGTCAGACGAAAACTGAAATTGGTATTAGTGGCCTCACGTTGGGCGCCATATGTACAAAAGATAGCTCGGGAGTGAGTAATGGATACCTGCCATGAGTACGGAAATCCAACATAATTATTGAAGACAAGCGCAACAATCAGATAAAACTTAATGTAGCTCTCCTAAGACAGACTTGGGACCCCAAACCTGTGATGAAAAGTATGTGTTGTCGAAATAAAAGTCAACAAAACGTTAACGAATTACTACGGTGATGATTATGCCTAACTTTTATGCCTTTCACCAACAAACTAAACATTCTAAACAGCTGAAAGTGTGAATATATGTTCAAGACGAGTGTACCAAAATAAAAAAATCGCTAATTGAATGTACGTAGCCCGCGAAATTCGAACATTTACGTATTTTGCATTTTACATTCCACGTATGTTATATATTTTGTCCATCGGAAAGTGAATAAGGTCTGGAGTCCCTGGGATCTGGCTCTATATCGATTGTACAAATTTATGATGCATGTGTAATCAATCTTAGTTGCTCCAACTGCACGTTCACTAATTGCACTGATCGACTGATCCTTATAGATGAATAAAACGAAGGAGTCCACGATGGCGTGTAGCCTCTTTTATCCCCAGATTTTCCCATAGACTGGACATTTTTACGAACCGAAATTTGACTGTATTCCTAAGATATGAGTTGAAGCTTCAAAAAAAATTAAGAAATAAACTCTCCGCAGGCGTTGACAATGTTCCTAGTCTTGTGATAAAGGACTGTATCGACGTTCTCTCTATACCTCTAATAGGCATATTCAACTTAATTTTATCAACTTGTGCCTTCCCCGAGCAGTGAATAACGACTCGAATTTGTCCGATATTAAAAAAAGTCGACTCTAGCGATATCACAAACTACAGGGCAATTTCAATTTCATGTAACTTTTCTAAACTCTTCGAAATATACGTGCAAAATGTTATATACTCCCATATTCAAAAAGTTAATTCTCCTACTCAACATGGTTTCGTACAACAAAGATCATGTATGACAAATCTTGCATGTTTAAATCAATATCTCTCTACGTACCTGGACAAGCAAAAACAAGTCGATGTTGTTTATTTAGACTTTCAAAAAGCCTTGAATCAAATAGACCATTATGTTCTTCTCAGCAAATTGACCAACTGCTTACTCTAATTGAATCATATCTAGTTTACAGAAAACAATTCGTCGAATATTAATATTTAAAATCGGCTCAGTACGTAGTTACATCTGGGGTACCACAAGGTTCTAATGTTGGACCTCTATTTTTAATTTTTACTAATGACTTGGCAACCTCTTTGAATAGTCCTACTATTTGCAGACGACCTGAAACTATATTGTAAAATCGACGACATTAGTGACTGATGCCAGCGTGTACAACATGAATTAGATGTAATCAATTTGGTGTAACAATTCTACAACTGAACGTAGCGAACTTTAATGTACCATTATTCAATCAACAATACTACTATTAACCGCGAGATAAAAGATCTTGGTATAACATACGACAGTAAATTAACATTTACAACACATATTGCTGATGCAAATAGGATGCTTGGATACATTTACAGAAATGGCAAAAACTTCAAAAGTATTGCCAACTTAAAATTGCTATATTTTGCGTATGCCAGGTCTTAGTTAGAATATGGCTCTGTGTTATGGAATCCAGTTTACGAGTACCAAAAAACATCAATTGAGAGCGTGCAAAGGAAGTTCCCAAAATACTTATGTCTAAAAGTTGATGGTCAATACCCCACGAGAGGCATCGATCATTACATTTTGTTGACACGATTTGATATGACATCTTTGGAAAATAGGAGAGTTATCCCTGGNATGTAGAGATTTCTTCTAGGCATCGCGACAAACTTTTATTATAATTTCAATTCTGTAAAGTCATAAATGAATGTGGTTAATGTGATTTAAAATTTTATTTTTATATTTTTAGGACACTTAAAAGCTTGTTTCAAGTTTTATTGAAGTAGTTGTTAGAACGTTCGATTTGAGTTTCATTCTCACCAATTCTCACCAACATTGGCTTTTTCAACATTTTTTCTCAAACACTGTATTCAAGTCATTTTAAATAGAATGAAATAACAAAATTAGGTTCTGAGTTTAATTCACACCAACGGTGTCTTTTCCAATTAAAACACACACCTAACAAGTTTAATATTTCTAAGTACATCAATAAAAATTCACAGTTTGAAATATTTATCCCTTTTTAGCGAAATTATATTTTACTGTAGGGAACAGTTATCATTGATATCTACACATCGCATCTGGAACATTCTCAAACTGATTTTTCAATTACATCTCGTCTCGACTCCGCGAAACTGATAATTATCTTCAATAATTGTATATCCAAATTTAACCGCTTTTGTTAATAACTATTTCACTCGAGTCACCGGATTTGATATCTATAATAGAACTAATTGCTAGACAAACACAATGTTTGAACATTTATTATCTGAGCAAATACTGTGGTAAAATAAATAGAGACCGGATTGGGTTAGGTATTTTCAGTCACATAATGCGATAGACCAAATGTTTTCATTTTTGACGGTAGAACAAATCCTTCTTAACGAAAAATTTCGTTTCAATCGTGTATAATAACCAGAAAATATGACGAGATAATGAAAGTTTATGAATGTTTATTGAAGGAAGATCTGCAATAGCTTGTTGGATAACTTTGAGTAAACAAGACAACATATCAACGAGCATGCGTCATCTTTTGTATTTCAAATTTTATATCCAATTTCATTTCACTTCCAATGATCTATCTCTTAGTCTTATGTTTTTTTCATAGAGAAGCACAAGCACTGCAAGAAAATGTTTGAAACGCTCTGACTGCGTTGCCTGTACGAAAGCAATCGTCTCGGAAAGTTTGTTTAACAAATACGCCGTTCTCCAGATGAAAAAGTAACTACAAAAGTGTAGGTGTGTTTTAAACCCAGAAAGGATGGGCAGCGATATTTTGTAATGTAATTCTGAAGTATATCGCTCTGGACCGCTATTTTTTAGTTTCAGGGAGTAGAGATGTCGAAAGAAAGTGACAAAAAAGGAAAGTGATTTCACAAAAAATGTATTCGTGAACGATTTCTATTCCACACTGAGAGAACTGAATCTCTCACTAAATCTACTGGTAAGTGAGAGAAATCGAAGTTGCCGAGTAGAAAGAAAATCAATCGTAACCTAAAAAGTCTACTCTGCCGAAGTTTTGTCTAAAATATAATAACTCGAATCAAACAAAAATTATATTCTAGGTTTTATTCTCCGAAATAGACACTGTATTCATAGAGAACATCATGAACAAATAGTGTCACTATATCACAGAATTGGTTAAAGTATTGTTGATTGAAAACTTCTATATATCTATATAGGGTCTTCCAACAGGGGCTTCCAAATTTGACAATTGATAACGGTCATTTTGATAAAGCTGCATTTGTCCAAATACTTATCATTTATTCAGTCTGTTTTACCAAATCACCATGGATGGATATAGCATTCAACAACACGTGCAAATAATAAAATTGTTTTATCAAAGTAGGTGTTCTGTTTGGGCAACGTACCGCGCGCTTCGCTCATTTCATGGTCGCCATAATCGTCCTGTCGAGAAGACTATTCGCAATGCGGTAGATAAATTTGAGTCAACTGGTTCAGTGAACAATCGACCAACACCCGTACGTCGATGAAACGCAAGATCTGCCGAATGTGAAAGTGTGCAGGAGAATCCGAGGCATTCGATTTCGCGTCGATCACAAAATTCAACTAACCGACGGTAAACGACCATAGACAACGACGTTTGTTCGCTGAATGGACTCTGAAGCAGTTGGCAACTGATCCAAATTTTCATCGAAAAATCATTTTCAGCGATAAGGCCCATTTCTGGATGAGTGGGTACGTGAACAAATAAAATTGTCGAATTTGGGACGATACAAATCCACTTGAGATCCAAGAACGTTCAAAGCATCCCGTAAAAGTCGCTTTTAGGTGTGGATTTTGGGCTGGCGGCGTCATCGGTCCATATTTCTTCAAGAACAACGTTGGCCAGGCCATCACTGTCAACGGCGAGCACTATAAGTCGATGATAACCAACTTCTTTCGGTCTAAATTGGATGATCTGGACACCAACGGCATGTGGTTTCAACAAGACGGTGCACAGCTCATGTCACATTGGATATTCTGCACGATCGATTTGAAGGCATGGTCATATCACGTGGAGGTGATTTGAACTGGCCACCGAGATCGTGCGATTTGACCCTATTAGACTTTTTCTTGTGGCGTTTTCTCAAGTAGAAGGTATATGCGAATAAGCCACAAACCACAGCGGTCCTCAAAGCCAACATGAACCATGCCATCGGTCACGTGGAGCCTGATGTATGCGCCAGAATCATGGAAAATTGAACATTTAGGATGCGCTACACCCAGAGAGGCCGTGGCGGACATTTGAACTTATATTCCAAACTCAATGGCATCATTGGGTCTTTCGAACGAATAAAGAATACGATGATATCTCTCACACTCTCAAAGGTAAGAAGCGCCTAATGGAAGACCTCATATTTGGTTGGGTTAGGTTTATCACTTATAGGGATTATGAAAAACAGCAGATTTTGAGTTGGGACATCGCTTTACGTCAAATAAAAACAGAGGTTATGATTTTTACACGCTTTATATAAGCTTCACCTGTATGTATGTATGTATGTATGATTGTTTGTATGCATGTTTTGGTGTAACTCTCAAGATCGGGATCTGTATTGACAGAATTATCGGCATTATTGCTTGATCTATTCGCGGGCAGATGGCGTTGTACGTAACTATCAATTATTGCTTGATCTATTGGCGCTGTACGTAACTATCAATTATTGCAATCAAATTAAATCAAAATGTACTTTATTGTTGAAGATGAAATCTCATTGACAAAGTGTTACTATTCTAAGAAATATAAGTTATACAAATTGAAAGTAATATTTGAACATTTGGTGATTTCAGCATTTTGGAGTGAAAAAGTAGTCAGAAAGTGATAATATATGCTGCATATTGAAATAAATAATAGTAATAATGAATATTCTCATGCAATACATAAATGTAAGTATGAGAATATAAAAACTATAAAGCATAAAAATATAAAAGTGAATGGAAAGAAAATAACAGTAAGAATCAACTTCGCTTGAGCTAGTCGCGGGCAGATAGCGTAACCTCCGTAACCTCCTTGATAGGTTGTTCAAAAGAAAATCAAAATAAAAAACATATTTTAAGAATTATAAGTGTTAGCACCCTCGTTAGAAGAATAATGTTATTTAGGAAGTGGTAGAAAAACGAGGTCCAAGGTGGAATCAAGCGAGAGAAGTCAATCGAACACTTTTCTTCGATGTTCCAGGTTTTCAGAATTTATTTGATGAAAAAACAATATGTTAAAAGACACTACAGTCAATAAAAGTAGATATATTACAAGTATTAAAAATATTGGATGATATTAAAAACATTAAAGAATGATTGAATAAAATGGCGGCCAGAAAACCTACAGAACTGGTCTCTCATATATACTATCAGAAAACAGTAAAATATTATGTCCCTTTGTGTTCCGTGCATAGAGATGGAGAAGTAGAAATCCAACATCTTTCTTTCTCAAGTCAAACATATTTCATCTCTTTCATTCAGCGGAAAAATGGAAATTGAATCAGTCATTTCCCGCCAATATTAATTTCGGAGCATCCACCAATCAGAAAACTTCGACATCATATTTGTTAAATATAATCTCGTCCTCCGTCAAGGGGAAAAAATTGAAACATTCTGATGAATTTTTTTCGCCAATTAAAAACTAGGAAACTTTCGGATCGTCAGATCATAATATGACTCAGCGGTAGGAATCCAATCTTTAAAGAGGGAACTTGTTTGATTGAACAATTTTCTATTCCTGGCAGCTGAATTCCGCGGTCACTTATAATGTAAAACTTATAGCTTGTTGCTTATTACTTGTAACTTTTGCATTCTGTCGGGGCCTTTGAAGAATTGTTATTGAATATGGATGAATTTTAGTGACCATCTGCTGAAGTGTTCCTGTATCTAGATGCGTTTTTAATGTTGTTTTTCATCGTCTCTAATTATACTTATTGTCAGAACCTTCACAGGGAAGGTTTGATGAAGAATTTCTGCCCGTAAAGGAATTTATTGTCGGAAATATCGGTCAGGATTTACGGTTTCTGGTTCTGGGTGTGTAGAAATGTTTGACGAAGTTATGAAAAAAAATACAATAATAAAACACAATACTTGACAAATCTAAAAGCAATCCCTATGACATTTCTCTCAAAGTTTGACATTGCTCTTCCAAACATTTATATGGTGAGGCAAAATAAATAAATTACAAGACTACACAGAACAAGCATTCAGCTGAAAAAGCTCTTAAATTTTATGCAGTGACTTAATTCAGCACATATCCTTCTACCACATTCAGGAGATGATTTCAACTGGAATATCCACTGGCTTTTTTATGTGGCCCGGTTCCTTGTCGAAACTTTCTTTCTTGTTTCATTAACTGAATGCACTATAGACGTCTTTTTTTGATGAATATTTCATTCAAACTGGTACAATGATGAAAAAAATAGAATGCTAGGCTACCAAAACAGAGTTCTACCGCGTTAAAACTGGCAGCCGGACATTAACATTAAGAGTGACTCTTATATGACTATCTGAGACAACTCAAATGAATATGTAAATCAAATAATACTAATCAATACAGTGAACAGATATACAAGAGACCGAAATGAAAAACGAATTATGGTTTTAAAATAGTCTTCGGTTTTAATAGTTTTTTTAATAAAAATAAGTTAGAGGTCTCCTAAATGTGTCCATGGACGTTTTCACATCTACCATTCGAATGTGACCATATTTTCATTGATGAACTTTAGTGAAAATACCTTCTGGCCAGGTGTTTCTCGAAAATTGATTGTCAACTATGATAACCACATCACCAAGCTTGATTTTTCTTGGGGACGAAGAAAACCACTTAGTTCTTTTAGTTAAAACAGGTAGATATTCCTTATCCATCGTCTCCAAAAATGATCCGGCTCGAAGGACCACTTATGTTTCTGAACTGGTTACTTTTGGTTTTAAAATAGTCTTCGGTTCTAATAGTTTTTTGAATAAAAATGCTATGAATGACAAGAAGTGGTTTTGTGTTTGACAAGTATTCAAATTCTATTTACTCTTGGCAACTATTCGAAAAAATCTCGAATAAATTGAAAGTACATGAGCAAAATAAACAAAACAAACATTTCAAATAATAATCCGTAGGAACACTCCCTTCTGGGAGTGTTCTTTAACTAACAAATAAATAATCCGTAAGAACACTTCTTCCTGATGACGAACTCCTGTTCTTCAACTAATATTATGCGGTTGGTCAACGTCGAGAATGCACAATTTGAATCAGAGGTCTCCTAAATGTGCCCATGGACGTTTTCACATCTACCATTCGAATGTGACCATCCTTTTATTGATGAACTTCAGTGACGATACCTTTTGGTCAGGTGTTTCTCGAAAACTGATTGTCTAATATGATAACCACATCACCAAGCTTGATTTTTCTTGGGGACGAAGAAAACCACTTAGTTATTTTGGTCGAGTTAAAACAGGTAGATATTCCTTTATCCATCGTCTCCAAAAATGATTGGACTCGAAGGACCACTTATGTTTCTGACTCGCATAACCTCACGAAAAAGAAAACAATCCTTCAATGCAAACTCTACTTTGAATACAAATAATTCATGTATGATATCTCAATTTCTCAATTGAAACCTATTCACATAATAAGACATTTTCAATTCGAATGAAAACATTATTCTGGATTTCAATAAATTCGAAAAGATGCATTTAGTCGCGTCAAGTAGGTCGGTTATTGTTGACGAGTACGACGTTAGTAATTTCAATAACTAAACCGCACGATTTGGTCTCCACAAACTCTATTTGAAAAATATATCACAACCTGTTTCGCTAGCACAGTAGCTTTATCAAGTGATTTGAATACCTATTCGTGAGGTGTAGTGAAATTACTATGGATCTTCATCAAATAACGGCCGAATCAATCAGAAAAAAAATACGACATTAGTCATCTACGTAATCTAATAATGATGCTTATTTTGAACAAACAAAACGTATAAAACATTTGCAGGAATAAACATGCAATAGTCCACAGAAGCAACCGTTGTTGCTTGTCTGTGGTTGAAATGACACATAAAACCTTAATATTGAACTTAATCTTTCTACGTTGCATACAAATAAAGCGTGCACCTAAGGTACATACATAATGCGTTATAAATAAAACGATTGCGAGAGGCCGTGGGATAAAAACAATTCATCAACACCTCTGTCGAATATTTCTGAAATTTGTGAGCGGGACGCTATCGATGCACTTTTAGGAAATAATATCACTCGATCTATAAATTTTCTCTGATAAATGTCCATTTTCCACACGCTATTATTAGCTTCACCTGTATGTATGTATGTTTGTTTGTTTGTAACTCTTTTTGCTTGATCTATTCGCGGGCAGATGGCGCTGTACGTAACCTCTTTCATATATCTACATTATTGCTTGATCTGTTTGTGGGCAGATGGCGCTGTACTTAACCTCCTTCATATAATTCGAACTCACTTTACATATATTTGTTTGTAACCCTCCTTTGCGCACCTGCTACCTTGGGCTTGGTAGCTGATTTTCAGGCTCCCTCTCCGTTATCGGAAAATATCAATGGTCATTTTTCTAAACAATATACGACTGATTTATCTCAAAGTTTAGATAAAATAAATATAGTTCAAAAAGACTAAAAAATACGCTTTTATAGCATACGAAACTAAACAATGAAAAATAAATATAGTTTAAAAACACGCTTTTGAAGAACATCGAACTAAACAGTTGAAAATATTTTTTTTAAATAACCTTAAAACAATAAAGAACGAAAAATACTAGTATTAATGTGAAAAAAGCGTGGCGCTTTGTGCCATATTTTTTGTATATCAAGCGCCCGTCGCTTTTTTCACAATAATACTAGTATTTTTCGTTCGTTTCATTTAATTTGATGTTCTTTAAAAGCGTGTTTTTTAGTTTTTTAAACTATATTTATTTTTTTATTCAAACGTTGATATTTTTGAGCAATAACAATCGAGCAACCAGCAATAGATAAATCCACTCATTCTCATCCTACGGACTCGTGCTTTCATCATGTTGTTTGCTCTCGTGGTATTGCAGATGAACAAAGTTTTCATTTATCTATAAAATTTCGTGATATTGTGATATTACTTTTGATAAAACTCTCCTATAGAACCTATTCTAGTTCTCCTTACTACATAGCCTATTATGCAAATGTTCTTGACGTCATATTTTTTTCCAGGTACCCAACAAAACACGCGAAACCAGCTCCGACATGATCTCTTTGGAAGGAGCCCTTGACCTCACCCATCCTCAGCAACCGGTCGTTCAGCATCAGCCGCAGCAGCAGCAGCCGCACTCCGTCCCGGTGTTCCACAGCCAAAACTCCAACTCCTCCACCGGAACCACAGGCACCGACATCCTCGATCTCAGCATGCCCGATAAGAATTCCGTAACGGAGGTGTGTTACGTGTGCGGCGACGAATACAAACGAGGCAGTCTCGATTTCGTCGATTCGAAACGAGCGCCCGACGATTTCTCCGATCCCGACAAGCCGTTTTTTCCGAGTTTGATCGAGCACCCGAGGCCGAGCCGGAGCCGGCCGATCGACTCATGTGGGAGGGTGCAGGCGTGTGTGGAGTGCCAGCACCATTTGTTGAAGCAGTGGGAGACTTTCAAGGTATACTAATGATTGTATTCATTTCTCTTGTTGAGAAGTATAGTTATTTGTAAATATCCTTATACAATAAGAAGAAAGACGTCAATCGTAAAATAACTGGAATGTTATATAAGTTATAGTTTCAAACTCATAAATGTTATGGTAATTTTTTATGTAAAGAACTTTTTCAGCCTTGATTTAAATGTGTGAAAATTTGAGGCATGGCTTGAAAAAGAACCATTTGTTTGAATGGAACAATCCTTGAATATCAAGAACAATAAAAAATGCTTCGGTTGATATTACAACAATAGTTTGGCATTCCAAGTATAAAAATTACCTTAGCTGCATTTCGGAGAACATGACTAAAGTTAAAAATTGCTGTGACGCAAACAGATTATCTTTAAGTACCGCGAAAACATGTATCCTCACCTAAATGAAATTTCTTTGGGAAATTTAAGAATTGAGTCGGAGTCGACAACTAAATGTTTGTGCCTACATTTGGATGGTAATCTCTCATTTGATAACCACATAATGAATTTATGCAAAAACTGGCATCGGGGTGCCAGTTTTTGCTGGCACGAAGATTCTCGTGCTGCATACAAAAAAGCGAAGAAAGACTATGAATCATTAATAAAAGCTTCAAAGTTGAATTTTTACGAAAATGTAATTAAGAATTCCAACAATAAAAATAGAACAGTTTGGAACCTAGTCAACAAAGAGACGAACAGAAAGAAAATTCAAAGACATATTACTCTCAACTATAATAATAAAGTAATCACAGCTAGAGATCATGTTGCCAACATATTTGGGGACTATTTCTCTTCAGTGGTAGAAAATAGCTTAGCAGACCTTTTTGGCTACAATAGATCATCCATATGCACGGTTTCTGGAATTGAATCGAATACTTTTTTCTTTATGCCCGTTAACGAATGTGAAATTGACGCAGTAATTAACAGTCTAAAAAATAAAAAAGTACAGAAATTGATAATATATCAGTGAGAATTTTAAAAGAAATTAAGTTACACATTTCAAAACATTTAGCTTACTTGTTGAATCTATCATTCACAAGTAGCAAATTTCCTTTAATTCTAAAAACAGCCATGATCATACCAGTTCATAATAAGAAGGATACATCGGATATTACAAACCATCGCCCCATGGCCCTGCTAAGCATTTTCTCAAAAATCTTTGAAAATGTTGTGAATGAGAGAATATTAAGATTTTTATCAAGGTTTAAGATCCTGTCCGATTCTCAACATGGTTTTTGCAAAGGCAAGTCCACTCAATCAGCTACTTGGAGATTCTTAGAAATCATATACGCTTCTTTAGAAAGGGGTAAGCATGTTGCAGGAGTATTCATCGATCTGTCACGTGCGTTCGATTGTTTAAATTTTAAATTCATCAAGAGCAAATTGTACAATCTAGGATTTAGAGGGGACTTTCTAGAATGGATTATTGACTTTCTTACAGATTGTATGATGTTCGTCAAGATTATAGATATGAAATCAGACTATCATGATATATGTTCTGGAGTTCCTCTAGGCTCTGTGTTAGGTCCGCTGATCTTTCTGTTGTTTGTAAATGATCTGCCTACTTATTTCACCTGTAATGAATATGCTCTCACTGTTTTTGCAGATGACACATCTTTAGCTATATCAGCAGAGAGTCAGGAGGAATTAATATCACTGTTCTTAAATTGGTGTGAAATGAACAATCTGATAGTAAACTTGACCAAAACAAAATATATCTATTTTAATTCAAAAAACCATCTGAAAAAGCAATCGCTTGCCTTACTAATCAATGGAATGGCACTGGCCTGCACAAGCTGTACAAAATTCCTTGGCGTTCATGTAGACAACTGTTTGAAGTGGTCTCACAATATCACAGTGGTATGTAAAAAAATCAATCAAGGGTATTATGCAATCTCAAGAATTAAGAATTGTATGCCTTTACACGCCATTTTAGATGTATATTACAGTCTGGTCTATAGCCATCTAAGTCATAATGTGATCCTATGGGGAAACAGTGTTGACAAAAATAGGGTTTTCATTGCTAAAAAAAAGTTATTAGGAAATTACTAGGCATCCCTTGGAGGGAATCATGCAAGACATTTTTCATTAGTCTTCAAATTTTAATCTTTCCCCGCATCTACATCTTTAAAATACTTTTATATATTCGCGAATATATAACAGCTATTTGTGTGTGTCAAATGTGTAATGTGCAGTACAATAAAACAGTTTTTCTCTGTTTAAATACTCTCAATTAAAACAATTGTTGCATACCATAAGGAAGATAAATCGCCTAGCTATAAACTGAGTTATAATTCAACCTAAAATAGTTTGTGTTAACTGATTTAATTTGTTTAAAACAATCTAGGGGCAATAACAAATCAGTAATTGTGAACTAAAAACAATTAAAAGATAGATCACAAAAAAGTGGAGATAACGTACAGACATCTGAAAAACCTGTGTTCTTATAGTACAGGAGCTTATAGCCAAAATAAATACTATAAATGGATCCCAAAAAGTGTGCCAAATGTGATACTGAGGAAACTAGTCAAGTACTCTTTCCCTGTGACTCTTGTAGAACATTAAAACATTGCTTCTTTCTAAGGCCTACTATAGTATTTGTGAATTTCTCTCGGACCATCTCGAGTGAATGGGTTCATGCGGCTATTTGTCGTACAAATAAAATAACTAGTGGAAATTAGGCAAAAGTGTTTTTATCCCTTTCATTTAAGTGATCATGAATTTCCACAAAATAAAAAAGTCATCAATCACACAGATTTATTGTATTTGATATTATTTTTGTAAACATTGTGTATCAATGTTTTGATAAAATGAAGGAACATTTATTATTATTATTAATAATTCTCTAAATTGTTCTAGGCACAAGGAGTACCCCACGCAGACCGCAAGTACACCCTTAGAAAACGACAGAGCTGCACTTTGGATACGACCACCTTCATTTGCTATACTTGCGCCTTGGAATACCCTTCGAGCAGCATCCGCTTACTGTACTGCTGCCAGAACGCCGAAAAAGAGCCCTACTTCCCGTTCATACAGACACTAAAAGCGCCTCCCGGCGCGAGTCCCATCAGCCCGCAGGGCATGGTTCAGGTGTGCTCGATCTGCTACAAGTCCATCCCGCAAAAGCACCAAGTGTTCGGCGGGGACCCTAGCGCCGTGGCCAACAATCACGTTTCGGTGGTAGATATACTGTTTCACAACAATAATTCTTCGAGGCCGAGTACGGTGAAGTCGCCAGTGAATAGCGCAGGGTCCGATATCAGATACAAGCCGTACGACATCAATTCTTCCATCAATAAGAAGAAACAGTTGCACGACAGTAGACAAAATCATCTCAAGGTGAGTAATATTTTTTGGGATCATGCTTTATTTTCAAGGGTGAAGGATTTTAGTCTCATTAACTTAGATTCAGTAAAATATTTGATTTTGTCAAATAATTAGATTTCTACAGAGAGAGAGAGAGAGAGAGAGAGAGGTGTCTGTCTGGACATGATGAAGTGTATCCTAATTAAAGGTACAAAATTGCTAACCTGGGTAATACTGTTAGTGAAAGGAAATTATTAAAAGGAGTGCCATGAAAGTGTATACTGGATCAATTTCCATTTCCAATTTAAATTAACAATTATAAATAATGAACTTCTCAGACAAAGAAAGTACATTATGGGCGTATGATGCAACTTCAAGTAAAAAGTATATAAAACAAATGATGCTTACATAAACCACACCAACGTATTGGATAAAGATCTGTTTAAAAAATCTGTTGAAAATCTGTTTTTCCGTTAATCAGCTGTCACCCCCATACGAACGACAACTCATTAACGAGGTCTTACCTTTTAACATATGATTCCTAACACATTTGCAGAATCATTCCAGCTTCAACCAGATAAATTCTCTCGAGAAAAATATCTGGTCGAGGCGGGAATCGAACCCACGGTCTTCCGATCGTGAGTTGGGCGCACTACCACCTCGGCCAATTCCACAATCATGATTCTTACGAAATGACTTGATTCTGAATGAATAATAAATAGAAACACTCACTTTGACCTTCAAAACTTGTACCAAATTTCTAGGAGTTCAGATGGATTCCAACTTGAAATAGACGGAACAAATCAATAGCATGTGCATTAAACTGAGTAAGTCAGTTGATGCACCCAGAAAAATTGAAATGAGTGAATTAAAGTGCAACGCACGCATCATACCATTTCCTTTTTGCTCAATTCTTAAGTATGGGATACTTAATTGGAGAATTGCATTAAAATTGCATCTTGATAGACTATCTGTGATCAAAAAGTCTGCAATCAGAAGAATAATCTCTGCCAAATTCGATAAAATGTGCCAACCAATATTTGTGGAACTGAAAATAGTAGTCCTATACTCAATTATTGTTTAGGCCCATTTCATTGTTCCATCACTAGCTGTAAAGATACAACAGCAGTATTATGACAAAATGTTCTGACTATTAAGCACAAAATACTACTGTAGTCACTTTAAGTTTACAAATTTAGAGGTTATAATTATATTATTACATCTAATGTAACCGAAGCACTATTTCTGATTTATTTCATTTATTGTAAAATTATTCTCTAACAGAAATGGAATATTAAGTTTTGCTTCCTGTGAACGCAGTATTAAGATACCTTTCAATCTTAGAATATCACAAGACATCAAAAGCAAAACCATTGAACTAGTATAGCCAATTGGCCCACTTGAAATGGTTGTACAGGTTTGGGTTAGTTTCAAGCATTTCGTCACTGGCAACACTAGTATTTGAAAAATTACTGAAAATATATTTTTTTCTCAAGAATTTCATCTCGGCTTTTGATGTACTCAAAAATTACATTATATAATTGTATAATCCAACCCCATTTTGATTATTGTGCTAGTCTTTTATACTCATTTGACCAAAATAAGGTATCGGCTTTACAAAAGATACAGACTCGTGTTTTATTTTACAAGGTATTCTAGTATATCAAACATGTTAAGTACATTGCAGTGGCTGTCTGTTTCATTATATTTTATTAAAATGATTTAATATTATGGTCTTGTAGCATCTAGATCTAGTGCACGTGAAATTGACGTTTATCTTATGATGATGGAAATCTCTGAAATGTTAATGAGTTTATTGCTTTCAGTTGAAATACTCATTTTCGGAACGAACAAATTCACATGCACTAGATAATAATTACATGTGACCGAAACGCCATCATTGTATTAAATATGAATATGTAAATGTTTTTTAAAGGAAGATAAAACTGTTTTATCTTCCTCTTGAAGATGATCACTTGGTCATCGAAACACGTGTCGAGGATGTTAAAAATAACGATTTGGTGTTGGGAAAAAACTCCAGTAATAATCATTAATACACCAAAGGTTCCAAACAGTACATCATAAGTATTAAATATGATCACATTCGAAGTTTTTCAATCAAAATTACTGTAATTTCACGTCTTCTTGATATTACATGTCAAATATCAGTGTTGCCAATAATGAAACACCTGAGAAATTTGCAAACAGTTTTATGTGACTACTGTGAATTGACTGTGTCTAATCCTAATTGAATATGGACTAAGGATTAGGTGGTGGCTGGGTTTTATATTTCATTGTTGACTGATTCTGGTTACAAATGTCGATGTCATTAGTCAAGACAATTAAGATATTTTAACCATTTCATTGATTAGAGCTTCTAGTCATAATATAAAATCTCTCACTTAATCCTTATAGATATGGTCAATTTTGAATTGAACCACGAAAATTACATGTGGCGCCATCTAATGAGGAAAATTGAAGTTGACACAAAGTTACTGAACAACACTGAAATATAAAACCTGGCCACCACTTAGTTCTTATCGAATATTTCATGATTGGCAACATTGGTATTTGACATGAATTATTGAAAATACAACATTGATAAGGCTAACTTTTTTATTAGAGTTGTACGACTTAGACTGCAGAGTGACAAGGTCGTCAAATATTTCTGCAATTCTTTGATATTTACAGTCAAGTGAATTTTGATTATGAATTATTTTAACAGGTACAGAGACTCTATTGATAACCTCTTCTTTTTACTCAAATTGTTGTCACTATTCAAGATGAATTCATCATTGTAGACTTTTTTGGTTACCACATGTTTGTAGACTCTTTTTCATTGTAAAATAATTGAATATTCTGGTTACCGCCATTCTCACGAGCATTCAAATATAAGTCTCTTAGATCTTGGGACATCTTTTTAACCTCACTGGTGACCCAACACTTGTTATTACCATTTTTAAGCACAAGACAGGTTTCAGGAAATGCCATGTCACAGTAGTAATAGAATTTATCGAAAACTTACATTGCTCTTAATCATTGCTCCATGATTCAACATATATATCTTTTTGTAAAAAGTAGTATTATTCCCATTATAATTCTTGAATCAAACATAGACCGTTTTTTCCAGACTCTCATGTCTACACGCACCACATCTCCGTCGCCCGATCTCAACGGACAACCGGGCAGTCAAAATTATCGCTGCTATATCTGTACCGGCCTTTATCCTCGCGTCCAGATGGAGTGGGTTAGCACTTCTGCGGAAGGCATGAATTCGCACGCGATGCACTTTCCATGCCTTGTTAAAGTATCGAGGGCGACTGAAAACACATGCATGGATTCCCATGGCAGAGTATTGAGCTGCAACAAATGCGTGTACCATCTGTCGCAACAATGGGAAGCCTTGGAAGCTGATAGGGTGCCCTTAGAACGAAGAAGGTTAGTATAGCACGCATTGTAACTATTTGTCTAAAGGCTCCATTTTTGGGTAATTCATTCTTGAATCTGCTTTTTAATGTACCAGAATCATCTCCAGCAATACGTCATATTCTGAATGCTTTGTGACATTTCAGTTGGTTCACAATTAGGTTTCATCATAATTTTCAACATTTTCAATTTAGGTATCATTGAAAAAAACAATGATAGGATGCATGGCTATGATTGTTATGTGAATAGCAATAAAATTATTTTCGACAGTACTACAATTGATTTAAAGACCAAAGCAACCTTTATTCATAAAGACGTAAAATTGAATCTCAGATTTTTATATCACTTTCAGATATGACATACCTAACTTAGACACGACAGCAAATGGTGATCAAGGAATCCTCACTCCCCCAAGTACAAACAGCGAAAGAACCGTGGGAAGTGGCAGCAATCCAGGAACAGGTGGTAGCAGTATATTTTGCTTCATATGTGGATTCCATTCTGAACTCACTTTGGCCAGAGTTGTTTACAGCAAACCTCAAGGTAAGATAATGTTGTGAGAATGGGGAATGTTCCTCAATTTGGGTTATTACAGCAAATGCAAGTTTGAACAAAATGAAGTTGAGTTTAATTCATGAGTTTTTCAAATTCACTACGAAAAGTATTCAAATTGATGTTTCAAATATTGGGCTTTAATTTTTAAAGGGATTTGTTTCTAATTCACATATTGGCAACAGCGCCTATATCAAGTTGAAATAATTTATACGTACCTAGATATTCTACTTTAAAAAAGGAAAATTATCTTTATAAATCAACAATTAAGGCAAAATATAAATTATAGTTCAATACCACCTCCACAAGCCACATAAACAACAGTTGTTTTGTTATTTATTTATATAGAGGAAGATAGGTTAGGTGCACAACATGTCATATGTCACAGATTGTCTCGGAACTCGGAACACAAGTAAACAGAACAGCACGCCTCTGAAATATGTCATCTTTGTTTGTCTGATACAGGTAACAGATTCATTGTCCTTTATTAGCTATAACCGAAGGTGCCAAATGGTGAAATAGAAACAAATTCCTTTAAATGTTGAATGCATTATTTCATTCCTCTTTTTTAAGTATTTAAATAATTTTTTAAAGAAAAAGGTTCAAATGATAAGTTTAAAATGCGTTGTTTTAGAGCTCTTTTATGAATACTATTTGACTTCTGTCAGGAGGAACATTCCCCATTGTATTAAACTGTGCTCTTAGCCTCTCGTGGGTAGTATCAAAATATATCTCAGGGCAAAAGTTAGTAGATATAAACTCACTTAATATTTGATAATTTCCATTTCATTAGTTTTTTTTTTTTCAAAAACTTGTTCTTTTCAGGGAGAAATGCGCCGTACTTTCCAAGACTTCTCAGCCACAAAAGTCCTCTGAATGCCGAACAGTTACGAGAGGGCGGGTCTGCTTTGGTGTGTACATTTTGTTATCACACTATGGTCAGTCAGTGGCGAAGATTTGAGGCTCAAGGTGCCTCAGCTCTGCCGGCTGAGAGGAGAGAGTACAATACGCATGATTACTGCTGTTACGTTTGTGGCATCGTTACTTATAGGAAAAGGGTTCGAGCATTGCTAAACAAGGTAATGTAGTTTCACGATAATAGACCATTTGCAACATAATAAGTTTTGAACTCCATATCTGACACGGATCTTGATTATTTTTGTCAATATCGATTCTACAGCTGATTCACTGATGTCATGCCCAATATTTCATATATAGTAATTACAATTTCTTCATAAACAAAATTGTGATTTGTGTGATAAAAGGGGATGATTAAAACTGGTGTCAGGTGTGGGTTTTTTGTTACTATGCTTCCGCTAAGAGAATAAACAAATGAGAAATACCAGTTTTTGCATTATCTTTACAATTTTCTTTTCAGGATTTCCCTTTTCTGAGGTTCCATCCTCAACCCGAGAATTCTCTTGTTCTAGAGAACGGCGACTACTCAGTAGTCTGTTTGGATTGTTATGAGACTTTGCGGACACAGAGTTTAGAGTACGAGAGATGGGGCTTGCCTCTTGACAAGAGACAGTACAACTGGATCACACAACCTCCACCGCCAGAGGATAGTCCTGAGGCTACCGTGGCTAGATTGCCAAGTGGGCAGCGGAGTGATAAAGTGGTGGGTAAAGAAAATCTAGAATCATCAATAATATTATAGGAGTGAGGCAGTTAGACAATCTATCCTTGCAATCAGAATTTAATCATGTATTTGTGTTGCAGGTGCCTCAGACTTTCATTATGAAACCAAATAAGAGAAATAATTCTCCAAAAATTGCAGAGAGGAAAGTTTCTTCGAAAAATGATTCGAGACCAGGTGAGTAATTTGTTTTTTGCACATATATTGTTATTTTTAGTGTATTATTGAGAGTATATATCAAGTTTTCTATTTGTTAAAATTATTATTGAAGAAATTATTTTAATAAAAGGTTAATGAAGGAATTCAATGTTCACAAAAAGAGTCAAACTGCTATTATGAAATCCTACAGTAGGTGACTGAAAATGAAAGAATTCACCATATTGAGACGATTCATCAATTTTTCATGTCCTAACTGTGAAGTGTGTCGAATGACATAGAAAAAATATGTACTGTTAGCAAAATTATATGTCTGGATTCTGTTAGAACTGGGCTGTATAAAATTGATGGTGTGTTTGATTTATATCTTTTTTTTAATAAGTGAAAGGTACCGCACAGAGGTTAGTCTTGCAGTATTGAGTCTCGCAGTATCGAGGTATTACCTCTCATCAGTGCAGGAAAGATCCGATCCAAACAGCACTGATCTTTCCTTCACTGATGAGTAATACCTCGAAAATGGTCTGGGTCTAAGCTGGGTGAGGTATCTTGCATAAATGTCTGTCGAATATAACTCAATATCCAGCGTTGTATCAGCCGGGGAAGTAGTTATTTTCTGGCAGGCATTTACCAGAACCTACGGTGTAGATAGTTGGAAGAGATGAATATTTCAAGATTTTATTTTGAAGTATTTATTTTCTAGTGTAATGTAATAATTGATGGGTTTGATCCTCTTTATTATTCTTAGCAATTGGAATCTCACTTAATAAGATTGAGTCTGGATTAAAAATTTATTAAAGCTAAAACCATGTAGATTAACGAAGTAATAATAATGAAGGGTGGATATTCCTTCAATTCGTTGGTCAAGATGGCCGCCAGTGTCAAATTGGGTGAAGATATCTCTGATGAATCTTTTAAATGTTGCAAAAGACAAATAATGAAAGTGGCAGTATGTGTTGACTGCGGGGCTATCTTCCATAGAAGTTGTCTGAAACCTGTCAGTAATTACATAATTATAGATGAAACACGTCTTAGATGCTGCCTTGTTGAAATTCAGTCTAATAGTAAGTATTTGGGCCTGCCAAATAACAAAATTTTTAGTGATGAAATCATCAAATATTTGAAAAATTAAATAGTTCTCCTAAAATCAATCATAAAAGAGAAGGATGAAACATTTGCAGTTGAGTTGGAAAACAAATGTATCTTGACTGAAAAAATCAGTATATTAACAGATAAAAACCAATTCATACAAAAACACCACCAGGAATGTTCTCAAAAAGCAAAAGATAAGAACTCAAACACAAAACAAGTCATTGGTACATCTACAAAAAAATTAATGAGGATAAAAACATCCTAGTTGAAAAACACCAAATTGATCAATATCAATATTCTTTTTTGAATTGAAGGGGTTATATTTTTAGGAGTGATTAATTTTTGGGAAAGAAAGTTTTTGGCTTTCTACTACTCCATCTTGATACAAAAAAAAGTATGAGGGAATCTTCCAAAGAAAGGAAGGAAGTAATCAATTTGAAAATAAGTAACTCTATACA